TACATGGTGGCATGCTGGGAGTTTGAAACCTTCATGTGCATTTCCCACAGGACAGTGAGGGACTGCAAGTCAGCATAGTCAGTAGCTCACCCAGGTGTCTCATAGAACAGTTGAATTTAAAAGGTCATATAGTCCAAACCACAGCTCACAGCAAGTCCAATCAAGCAGGTAACTTGGGGCCATGTCCTGTTGAATCTTGAAGACCTACAAGAACAGAGATTTTACATCCCCTCTGGGCAGCTTGTTCCAGGGCTGGATCTCCCTCATGATAACTTTTTTTTCCTAATACCTGAACAGAATCTCTGATGTTTTAACTTGTGCCCATTGCTCCCTGTCTTATCATCATGCATCTTTGAGAAGAGTCGAGCTCCACCACCTCTTTGTCCTCTGATCAGGTTGCTGTAGAAGAGAATAAGGTTTACCCTGAGCCTTCTCTTTTAAAGGCTGAGGGAAACCCACTTCTCTAAGCCTCTCTTCCCCAGACCAAAAAGGCAGTGTATCTCAGCCTTCTCCTTGTCACTTGTTACTAGTTCCCCTGCCCCAGTGAACACAGGCCCACATTTTGTTAACATTCCTTTTGCTGCCAGTGGACTTAGAAAAACCTTTTTTCTCCATCCTTCACCTCCCAAAAACCTTTTTTCTCCATCCTTCACCTCCCTTGCTAGTTGAGCTTTGGCTTTCCTGATCCCGTTTCTATGTGCATGGTCATGTGTTTGCCTTCCTCCTGAGTAGCCTATCCCTGATTCCACCTTATAGAATCATAGAATAGTTAGGGCTGGAAAGGACCTTAAGATAATCTAGTTCCAACCCCCCTGCCATGGGCAGAAAAACATCACACTAAACCATGTCACCCAAGGCTCTGTCCCACCTGGACTTGAATACCACCAGTGATGGAGCGTTCACAGCTTCCTTGGGCAACCCATTCCAGTGCCTCACCACACTCACAGTAAAGAACTTCTTCCTTATATCCAATCTAAACTTCCCCTGTTGAAGTTTTGACCAATTTCCCCTTGTCCTATCACTACATGAACAGTCCATCCCCAGCATCCTTATAGGCCCCCTTCAGATACTGGAAGGCTGCTATGAGGTCTCCATGCAGCCTTCTCTTCTCTGGGCTGAACAGCCCCAACTTTCTCAGCCTGTCTTCATACGGAAGGTGCTCCAGTCCCCTCATCGTCTTCATGGCCCTTCTCTGGACTTGTTCCAACAGTTCCATGTCCTTTTTATGTTGAGGACACCAGAACTGCACACAATACTCCAAGTGAGGTCTCATGAGAGCAGAGTAGAGGGGCAGGATCACCTCCTTCGACCTGCTGGTCACGCTCCTTTTGCTGCAGCCCAGGATACGGTTGGCTTTCTGGGCTGCAAGCGCACACAGCAGCCGTCTCATGTTCATTTTCTCATGGACCAACTCCCCCAAGTCCTTCTTCTCAGGGCTGCTCTGAATCTCTTCTGTGCCCAGCTTGTAGCTGTGCCTTGGATTGTTCTGATCCAGGCATAGGACCTTGCACTTGCCATGGTTAAACTTCATAAGGTAGTCCACCTATCAAATTGATGTGTCTCTAAATTGGAGAGACAAGGATGTCATGTGGGACAGTGTCAAACGCTTTGCACAAGTCCAGGTAGACAACATCAACTGCTCTACCCCTGCCCATCAGTTCTGTAGCCCCATCACAGAAGGCCACCAAATTGGTCAGGCAGGATTTGCCCTTAGTGAAGCCATACTGGCTGTCACCAAGCACGTTGTTGATTTTAATGTGCCTTAGCATGCCTTCCAGGAGAATCTGCTCCAAGATTTTGCCACGCACAGAGGTGAGACTGACTGCTCTGTAATTCCCCGGGTCATCCATTTTCCCCTTCTTGGAAATGGGGGGTTATATTTCCCTTTTTCCAGTCATCGGGAACTTCACCTGTCTGCGATTTTTCAAATATGGTGGACAGAGGCTTAGCAACTTCATTTGCCAGCTCCTTCAGGACCCGTAGATGGATTTGATCAGGTCCCATGGACTTGTGTACATTCAGGTTCTTAAGATGGTCTCATGTATAGGACTCCTTTATACAGAACTCAATCTCTCTGTCGTTCTTGTCCACCCCTGTCTTTCTTGCAACATTCTAGTCATGAGAGCTACCCCACTACATTACCATGATACTAATGAGGTCTTAACTCTGTAGCTGTGCACAGACTTCCCTCTGGCTTGCTCCTCATGCTACATGGATTTGCGTACAGGTATTTGTGATGTGTCTTAAATTATGCTGCTTTACAGGGGAAGTGTGAAAGCCTCCCCTGTCATGCTCTCGCAGGTGCATCTATCTGCCCTGCCTCTTGTGCCTTCAAATCTCTCTCCAGCTTGGGCAGCATCTCCACAACTTCCCGATTCTTTGCCAGATTGCTGCCTTTATCTCTGTATAAGGAAGCCTCCTATAGCTGTCATACCACATTTACCCTTCATGTAGACACCAAGTTCAGGCTCAGCAGGTTCTGATCCCATATGTCTGATTTGAGCAGATGGTCCCTAAATCAACTTCCCTCTGGCATCAGTGCTCCTGCATTTATTTGGAGTTGCTGCTTGGCAAAAGGATTTGGGAGCTGACCTTACCTGACAAGCATACATAAAGGTTTGTAGTTAGAGCATCAATACTCGCAAAAAACAGCACCTATGCTTGAGGAGCTGAAGTCACACTACCCCGGTTTCCACTGCATGTGCTGCTGGAATCATTAGGAGGTTTAGACAACTGTGCAGGGCAAAGACACACCAAAAGCTCCTAAAGGACTTCATCTACCTATCTTCAATAGCAAGAGCAAAGATAGATGTGGAAGTAGCATTGTATCTCACATCACAAAAAATGAAGCTAATATCAGTAGTAGTTTTAAGTCTACTTAGCCCCTCTTGCTGCTTAACTATACCAATCAGATGAAAATGAGGTGACTTCAAAAGTAGCCTGGAAAGGAAGCAGACAGACACTTGCTGAGTTCTAAATACTGCTCATAAGCAGCAGGAGAAAAGAAAGAGGAGGAAAGGGGTGTATGAGCAACATCTACTTTTAATAAACTTAGTAATTAGTATGTGGCAGTACAAGGGCATGTAAGCAGTCACAACAGACGCAGCTTTAAAACAAAGAAAGAAAGAAACAAGTTTTTGTTATTTTGCAATAAAAATTTTTAGAAGGATGCAATTTGAAACAACCCTGAGGAAAAGAACACCTGAAAACCAAGCTCAAAGTTGAACAGCTCTGGATTTACACACTATAGGACTACCTACTTTCTATAGTGCTGCAAAGTTCTAACAAGTCTTTGTTTCAAAAGTTATTTAAGCTTATGTAGAAGGTTGATTAAGTACCCAAAAACTTTTCTTTAGGAAGCATTCCTGAGCTCCCCTGTACTGATTAAGCCTTTCACCTTCATTTTCATTGCTCTGAATCACAAGATTAACAGGAGCACAGAGGAAGTGCTCCTTCCTCACTAAGACTCAAGATGCTTGTCGAAAGGAATATGAATGAGGTATTAACCCATGGAGAATAGCAGAAGCATCTATAGCAGAGGAGTATCAGCCCTTTGAAGACTGCACACAATAAAGATGCCATGTAAATGTAAAAATAAATTGGTTTACAATTCAAGCTGGAAAAAGTGCCCAACTTTCTCTTCAGATGTATAGCAAAGTAAACCTTTATAATTGTCATTGGCAAATTAGAAGTAACTTCAACAGCCTGTCTTCTACGTCATTGATCAGTATTTCCACAGAATACTCTAAAAACTGCATCATGATCACTGGCAAAGATAAGTTGCTTCAACAAATGCAGTAAGGTTCAAATAAAATACTGTAAATCTATAGGTTTGCAGTCTATACCTATCACCAACCACTCAGTGGTGCGAACTAATGCCTGGCTTTTCCATTTTGAGACTGCATGTGTTAGGCATAGGGCAAACTGTTCATTCTGCCCTGCCTTTACACAACTGGCACCGCAGATGCAAGGTATCCCTGGAAATTGAGTCGATAGGAAAGCATGATCAAGAAACGCCACCTGCTGTCTCCTGAATCACTGTTCTAAAAAGCTGCTGGAGTGCGAGGACAGCGCTCTAAACTCATGTTTCCTTTTATTGCAGGAAAAATATTTGAACACAATAAACAACAATCCTTCAGATCCCCATTTAAGACACTTACCACATAAAGTTTCAAGAAGTATTTCCTACAGAAGTCTTTTGAAGTGAAACCTAGAAAAAAAGGGCAGCAATTCCTTTGAAATATGCCTTGTTTTTTTCCAGATTGCTCCCCTCCCTTCCCTCCAAATAATTAATTGCATTTCACAATGTTGGCTTCTCTTGAATTTCAAGGTTCATCCTTGATTAAAACTCTATATAAGCAAAGTATATCTATACACTGGCTGCAATAATATAGCGCATATCTTTCCTTGTGGCTATCCCCAAGAAATGCTCTGTAGTGACTCAACCCAGGACATTCCAGCCACTCCAACTCAGCAAAAGTTTGGTTTCCTGATCTTGGGCCCTAGGAAACTAGATGCCAACGTGCTAAACTAAGCATATGGTTGAAGAACTGCACAAGAGCCAGTGTGCTCAGGACCTGGATGCACCAAAAAGTAAATCTGTAAACACATATGAAATCCAAGTTTCCCTGATGAACAAGCTGCTGTGCAACTTGAAAGAAACAAATCAGACTTTGTTTGGATTAATGTGCATAAATATTAGAAGTTGCTCTTTTCACCTCCCTTTTTTCCTAACAGAAGATGTTACCAGTCTTCTACAACACTTCCAGAGCAACCTTCAATATTTTCATATTTAATTGTGTGAATTTTGTGTGTGTTTTTCTTTGAACCTACCCTTCTTGGGTTCCTGCTTTCTTTTTCTACTGAAATATTTTTAGTTATTTAAGGGCATTGCCTTTCTCTCTCAAGACAAAGAAATGGTGCTTCCTTAAAACAGATTATAGCTTGAGTAAATCAGCCTCAAGAAAGCAAATAGTCAAGAGAACAAAGGATGGAAAACATCAGCTATACTGGTGATTGTAATAGAAGTTATCGTTACTTCAGTTACAGGTAGGACATAGCCTGAGCCAGGAACCTAACCAATTCAGATTAAAACAAACATGTGAATCTCAGTCCGAGGATGAATTAACTTCTTGCAATTAATTCAAGTTTGAAAGTGCCAAATAAGGAAATGAAAAAGACTTGACCTTATATATTTGCTCTGTAACATGCTAAATGGATAAAACAATCTTCTATTATTGCCAATAAAAATGTAGTTTTACATCAAACAGTTGTCCTGATAGTACTAGCCAACCAAGTAAACTGAACAGTAGTGCACACCTTTTTTTTTTTTTTTTTAATTAATCCTTGCCACACTGCAAGCAACCTTCACAAATCCTTTATCAAAGTTATTTGTGGAGAAAAGATTGGGAGCTACTTAAGGTTCCACATTGGAAGTGCTGGAATAATTTCCAAGTGAGGGAAAAAGATGCCTTCTTCTCTCTGATTCTCCTGAGATGTACAGAATTTGAATAAACAGTTAACTTTTGTACTCTGTTATCTAGAATCTGGACTGCATCTGTCCTTTCCGTCAGAACACTACATCTGACGAAGACTGAATTTTCTTCCCACAAACCACAAATCAGGTCAGACACACAAATTGTTCTGGTCATTTTCATCAGGATGTTTAGCATAGGAAAATTCTGATTAAAGTGCCTGAGGAAAAACTTCAAACCATTCTATCATTCCATTTCTGACCAACACACAAATATACATTGTCATGGCTTCTTTTTATCATCAAAATTGAAATCTGAAAGCTACATGATGTGTATTTTCACACATGATGTGCAGTTCCACACAAACAAAAAATTGCTCATTGTGGAGGAGAGGACAAGACATTTTACTTGAATGTGGCTTCTAAGAGATGCTAACAGCAGTTCAGTGTGTCATCAAATATTCAACTATTCCGACAATAGATTCGACCGAAGTGGTTTAGCAGCTTGATAACCCAATAACTTCTGATTGAAAAGCTTTGCAGGGATCTTCTTTGAACTTGGAATCTGGAAAAGCATGTCTTCTAGCGTGCACATGGTTATCCGTCCTGAAGTTTGTAGTTTCATATGAATATCTCTTAATTTGGCAGAAAGGTAGGCATTTTCTTCCATCTTTTCCCTGACTGCAGCCAGCTAAGGAGGAGAAAATGACAGACTTACAGTTCAGCAAGTGAAGATCTCACTCAACCACCATACTGAAGGCAAGCAATCACTCAAAGAAAAACAAAAAAAAAGGCACACAATGTAAGATATGTGGCTAACACAGTGACCAGTAAGAAGAGGATTTCATGCATCACCAAATACAATACCACACATTACACATCACCAAACAATGGTGGAAATGCACTGGCTAATCTATCACAGAGAATCTGTTAGATTTAAAGCTTCCTCAAAATATACAGTCCAGTTTTCACTCCTAGTACAGACTATCACTAGTACAGACTATCACAATTATTTTTCTATTCAAACCCAGGAAACATTAATTGCTTCCTGAAATCTACTTTCCAGATCAGCACAGTCCTAGTTATTATTATGTATCACACTAAATGTACAGAAAAAGTAAACAAAAAAGTCAGACTATAGAACACTGAGAAGTTCTGTATGCCATACCCAGTCTGAGCTCAAGTGCAAGTATCTCTTAAAAATTCTTATTTATCAATAACCTTTTGTGGAAGGAATGGATTAGGACCAATGCTTAGTTGTCTTAGGAACTGTTCGAAATTTGCCTAACAAGAGCAAAATACAACACTGACAAATGCAACATCTATTGCAATGAATTTACAAAATGAAATGCTGCTTAAAAAAAAGTTCAGTTTCAACACACCAGTTAACATACATGGGCTGTGTTTTGCAAGATGTGTCCTACTACTTTTTAGTATTTGTTATTTTATGTGTCAGTTTAATAGGCAGCAGCGAAAGGCTAAGTATTTAATTATTAACATAGTCTTAAAATATCTTATTCCATAGACAAGTTTCAGGAAAAGCTGCAGGAATGCTTCCAAGCTGATAGGGGTACATATGTACTCTGAAGGAAGTCTTCTTGGCGATCAATATTGTAAAAGCTTTTTTTGAATAGTAAAATATAATAAAATAGCAAGTTATTACTTCCCATATCACATTTCCCTGTGTAGCACCACAGGTCTTTGCAAATATCACCAACCTAGCAATACTGTTGTCATCAGAACCTTATTCTCATTTTTATATCAAATGGAAATAGCACAGAAGGCAAAGGATTAAATCACTTAATGCCACAAGGGAATGCTTCATCTGCATTCAGATGAAATCTGGGCTCCTAAGAGCAAGATCTACAACAAAGGGAAGTGGGCAGCTAAGTGCTTTATCCAACAGTACAGAAAGCCAGCCAGCAGCCTTGCCGTCTGACTGCATCAGATTCCAAACAACCTCAGTAGGGTGAACTCCGGCACCTAAAGTTCTGTAACTGACCCACCATCACCATGGCTCAGCCAAGCACCATGGACCTCCTCTCATTACTGTACACTTACCACCTGCTCAGAAAACTCGATTTTTTTCACAAAGGGAGGAGTATCAACTTTCACTGCTGCCTCTAATGTCCTTATTACTTCTTCTAGCAAACCAGATCTGAGCTGGACAAGAACCTTAAAAATAAAATAAAATCACACAAATAGTACTTATAATCAGAATGCAAATTTTAAGAAACAAACGTGTTTGAGGAAGAAATGAAGCAATGCAGGAAAAAATACATTTCTAGACATTGAACTGATAAAAGTCCATTAATCATGAAGAAAGCCAAAGGAATGACTGATTTCCACAGATGTTTAGGGGGTCTTTTTTGCAGCTAGGACCTCGAAAGGGTGAGCCTGGAGACAAAGCTCCTCTGGCAGAGCTGCATTAGCTGTTCTTGTGTAAACTGAGGGTTTTTTTCCCACAGCTTAGAGAAGTTACTCACAGGGCACATGCAGGAGACTTTCCCTCAGGTTTTAGACCATGCATTTAAGGTGAAAAAGAGTTCCGTGCACATGAAGTTAAGATTCAAAGGGCTGTAGGAAGCCTGAAGTGGGCAGAACACAGCTAAGGAAGGCATTTATTTGGAACTGTGTTTTTTTTAATCTCTTGTAGCAAGAAAGCAAAATGTCACGATGTCACAATTAGAAATTGTTCACAGCCTGTACTCACAGACATTGGACTGGTCTACTTTTCATTCTCATCTATGGTGGGAAGCGATTTTAAAAAATGGTGGCAGGGTGTTAACAATTCAGAAAGCATTGACAATTTTGTCAGTACATCTGACAGAAATTGACTGCTCAAAACAAAGCTGAGCAACAGTACTGGTACATGCCTGTACTACTGAGAAGCTGGACTTCTGTTATTCTGCACAAGGGAGTATTTTGTCCAGTATAGCATAATTCTCAGCAAGATCCTAATACAAATCAAACATACTTACTTTAAGATTATTGTATAGTCTGCTCTCTGTTTTCAATATCCGGGAACAATAAAATTTGGCTTGTGAAACATCATTCTAGGAAGCCATTATAAATAATAAAAAGAATATGGTTAAACATGTGGGACACACTTTGACAAGAAAAGTTTAAGAAAAACAAGTCTTTCGCAACTTTTCAGTGAATCACAAACCAGCATCTAGAATCCCTTCACCAATCCATGGGTCACCAAGATCCACAGATTCCAAACAGCATCCAGCCTGTGAAAGGAACACTCCATGCTGGAGTTCCCATGTCATCTGGCTCTTTAGCACAGTACTGACAGTACTCTCTGCGTCAGACCAGCCACAGAAAGAAGCATGTAACCAACAGTGAACATGAGAGCACCTAAAAGATAAAAGATCTACACACGTGCCCAATCTGGCACAAGTCAGAGTACTTAGATGAATTGCAGTATACGTTAATGTATTTATCCTGCCCAGCACTTCTAACCTTTTGGACATACATATTTACAGTACTGTGTCTGTGCCATCAACTGATTTGCATAGACAGTAAATGTTCCACTGACATTTACTAGACTAAACATTGTTACTTGGGGTCAAGAAATATCTTACAGCAAGATGTACTATCAAAGATCATGCAGCTTAAGGAACGTAGAGCATTATTTTGTTTGCAAAACAATAACTGATTTTTATATAAGGCAACATCATGAAGGATATTTCATGTTGTGGTGGAGACACATATTTTGTTTTTAAACCTCAATGTCAGTGAGATGCCCTGTCATTTCACCATGCACATCAAAAAATTCATTAGATGATGCTGTTGTTCAGTGTCTCTGTTCACAGAGACAGTGCAAAAAAAAGAACACAGAGTGCACAAGAAAATTTTAACGATTTTACTTCATCCATTTAAATCCATTAACAACATCAAATCACTAACTTACAGTGCTTCTGACCTCTGTTTATACATGAAACAGAGAAAGTTCAGAATTTTCTTCAAGTGGTATGCACAAATTATTTGTTGGTGAAATACCAGACTTTACAATTTCCTAATTGTTATTTTCTTTCTCAGTCTTTAATCCTGTACTGCCTCAGAGCCTCTCCACATCAGTGCTTAGGCACATGAGGCATATGAAAACCTCCCCCTGAAGAAATGTTGTGGAGAAAGACAAGCCATCTCCCAGGCAGTAGGACAATACATGTCATAGCCTTTGAGTTTGCCTCCCAAGATACATATTTTTAAAAGATGATTATACACATACTTTAAATTATCATTTTAATTACATTTAGAGGAAACCATCACTAAATAGCAGTATCTGAAGGACTGGGCCCATGGTGACATCTGACCTGCTGGCTGAACTCTCTTTACTGGCGTTGTTACTAGCACCAAATATCTGTGCATTGGACTCAGGATGTATGTTTAGATTAGAGAATTTCTATATTCACTTTATGTGGGAATTGTCTATAATCTTAAAGGGGCCTAAAAATTCTAGTACTTGAAGTTATTACATATCTCAGTTATGCTTCCTCTATGTTAGCTTCCTTTCACTGACTATCTTACAAAAATAAAACTAGAGAGATTCAGGCACAAATCAGAACAAAAGGTACTGTACCTGCTTCAGAGCAGTTGCCACAGCAAAGCAGTATGCTCGCAGTGGTAATGTGTCACCTTTTAGCTGTGCTTCTTCAAGCAGTTTCTCACAGATTTTGCAAGATTCCAGGTTGTCCTGCATTGAAATTTCAAACCTAAGTTGCACTTGCTATTCTTGTGATACGAAAGGACTGTAGACAATTGCAATCACATTCAGAAGGCAATCAGAAGTCAATATACTGTAAGATACCAGCACCATTATTTTCAGTATTCAAGTAGCGCATCTTGAAGATATTTCCCTTCAAGGTTTCTTACGAAGTTTTTTTATGTTGCATCATGAGCAAAAAAACTTTGGAGCTTCACGGTTTCCCACCTACCGCTAACAGCTGGATCAGTAGATTAAATTTTTCAAAAATCCTCACCTAATCCTCTTTAGTGAATATAGGGTTACTACAGCTTATTCCCTTATTGATAGTATTTTATCTTCATTAAAAAACCAAAACAAAAAAAAACCAACCCAAACCCCAAAACCCCAAACCCATCAAAAAACCAAAAATGAAACAAACAAAAAAAAAAACCACCCCCCAAAACATCACACATTTATTGTGGCTCTGAAAACAACTGGGTGACAGTTGAGAATCATTTCTCCTCTATTTTTATCAATTCACTAAACAGCTAATGATCGGTCAGATTCTCTACTGGAAATATAGGTAGGGCCAGAAGTAGTAGAAAACAAAGTCTTGGGAACCTCTTCCTGTTACACATGCCATAAATCCAAGGGTTCTGACAGCAAAAGAACTATGTAAAGATTTTAGGGAAGAAACTACCAAAGACTGAGTAAAGGATACCTCAGAGAAACACAGTAAGTTTCTCTGAAAGCCTTTACCTATATGGGCAGTGTTTTACCAGGGAGCAACCCTGAAGTGTAAATATTGCCTCAGTAGATGCTAGTAGTAAACACCAGGTTATAAACTTGGGTTGTAGCATAGCGTCAAAAGTCTTTGTATATTCACAGCTTTGTAAAAAAGGCACCTTCTACATAGAACTGGTAAGAACCCTAAACTGTCTGTAATCATCAATCTCTTTTTTTTTTTTTTTTTTAAACAGCAGACATCTTCTGCAGCTCTTTCTCAGCTCAGTCTACTGCCTTACTCCCCAAACACCAAAGCCACATGGCTATTCCTGACCTAAAGGCAGCCCTGATTCATTAGGACTGAGGACTTCAAAAGCACCACATAAATTACTACTGAGCTACAATTTGAAGCCAACTCCTTTTTATCATATATGTACCCAGTTTCATTGTATGGTTAGTTGAGAAACATGAGAAAGCTTAGTTGAGTGATATAATTTTTCCTCAGCTAGTGTCTTTCATACTAAAAACATGGGGAAATTAAAGAATATTTCCCTACTGAGTTTGGGAAAGGCCTAATTTAGCATTTAAAATTGCAGAACTGATTCAAATCTGGATAGAAGGATCAAAATAAAAAAATCTGGGGATCTCACTTTGCTACAAAAGAGAAACAGTTATAAGGAAACACTCGTAGAACCTACGTAGCCTAGTTTCTTGCTGTATTCGTGCTCTTTTTCTCTGAGCTAAAAATACAGTTAACGTCAAGAGGCTGCCTGTCTCTCACTGAAGGCATTCATTTGGGTTTCTTTTCTCAGCTGCCCATTTCCATCAGGCATGCAGGAACAGATTACCTTTGAGAACTACAATCCTTGTCAAGTTTGGGTGCAGTTAAAGAAATGGTTCATGTTTACTTGGTGGGGAAGGCAAAAATGTATGGGAGATGTCTGACAGAACATATCATATATACACCTTATTTCTTAAGAAAGCCAGACTGTAAAACCAACATTGAGGCTCAAGCACAAAGCACAGTCTGAAGAGGTACACAGGATCCAAGAGAAAGAATACTATCACAGTGTATCTAATTTGCTCTTCAGCGCTTATGCCCACGTATGTTGAGATTTGCTTTGTGACATTAGTTTCCATGGGAAGCTATGTATGTGTACTCAATTAAGCAATTTAGGACTTAAATATGCCTAAAATACTTGTGCTAGATAAGAAGTAATGACTGGGAAATTTTAAATTTCATAGAAAAGAAAGACATGGAGAAGGCATTTCAAATCCTTTTTCATCATGTAAATTGAAAATACTCACCAGTTTGTAGCATATTGCAAATGCAATTAGATAGGTTTCTTTGCTGAAAGGTATACTTTGTTTTTTCATTTCAACCAGAACTTCCAAAGCACCTATCAAAAATACATTAGTGTTATTTACTTCACAAATTTAAGGCTGTACATTTTGTAACAGGGAAAAAAAAAAATTAAATCATGATGGAATAATCTTAGTAGGTGTATTTCAAAATCGGAATGTAATTGAAATCTGTTTAAAAAAAAAAAAAAAACCACACACCACAAAACCAAACATTTAAAAAAGTTTAATTTAGAATCAGTTGGATGCAAATATTTCTTGCCAGCAAGAAGGTTTTCAATCGACATTAGCATCTGGCCTTACTGTTCTATTCTTTTCATACAAATCTAAAAATAAATACTAGACACTTGACAAAGCTGCCTTTATTCTTCCCAACTGCCCAGAAAGTCGGCCTTTAAAACACATAAAAAAAAATCCACCATTTTTTGGAAACTAGCAGTTCCTCAGCAACACACATGTTCCATTACACCACCACACTGCATTGAGGCTCTGATCCAGTTATTTTTACAGTCTTGACTTCTATGACAACCTCTGGACTTAGATTTGCCAAACATCAAGAGAGTTAGCGCTGTGTGTTCAACAAATTTCAAACAAAGGGATTTGCTTGAAAAGCTTACTCCACACTCAATTTAAGATTTTGTCATGGAATGTCTTTTCAGTCAGGTCAGATGATTCACCATTATCCTCAAAAAGGACTAAAATGATTTAAAACACTTGACTTAAAATACTGCAGTGCTACTCTGTATGGGTACACTAGTAGGACAAACAAAGCAAAGACTGCAGCCTGGTTTTGTTATCCAAGGGAAAAAGGGTACCCTTCCCTGCTCTGACACAAATGCAAAACTGCCAAAAAAGGTTGTGGAAGAGCTTACTGTTAAAAAAACTGCATAAAACAAACTCTGAATAGAGAAAAGAAAAAGCTCTGGAAATTACAAACCAAAGAGAAGTTAAGCCTTCAGAAAAGAGGGGTTAGGAAACAATCTCCCTGGATAACTACAATTCTGTGCAACTATGAAGGGTAAGAATACTAGTAGAAATGCAAAACAAATACAGTCTTCCATTTTTAGTACACTCTACAGTGCTACTCATCCACATCTACACTTATATACAGGATGTTTGGCCTTTGAAACCATAAACCAATGAGTAATATTCATTAAAATGTACATGTATTTATAGACGCACACTTACAATGAGAAGCATTCTCTTCAAAATGCATTTGCCTTAGCAAATGGAGTACTTACTTTCAAAATGGCCCTTTTTAAATAACATAGTCATCAAAATATGGAATGATGTACTCTCCGAGAAAAAACCACGCAAATTCTGGAGAACAGACACAGCGAGCGTAAAGAAAGTTAGGAGAGTGAGCATTCTTACTGTGCACAGCATCTTGCAGGTCTTCCTACTGGAATAGTCCCATCTTCCTAAGTTCCACATTTAACATTCCGGGTTCCCTGACTGTCCCTCTGTCAAGTCACCTCTAAAATACCAGTGATTAAGTATAGTCAAAAGTTCTCTCAACTTAAGCAGAAATTTCCCAGAGATTCCCCACTACCAATTTTTTTAAACAACAGATTGTGACTTCTAAACTGATGCAAGCAGAAGTCACTGACTAATGGCAACTTCAAAATCTCAGCAGAAACACAGCTTGCAGCTCATTAACAGTATCTTTAGTGTAAGGTACCACCACTATGAAACCAAAAGAATTTTTTGCTCATCACAGTATCAAATGATGAACAGAACAGCACAATGGCTTGAGAACAGAATAGCAGAAGAAAGAGCAAGTACATTTTACATTCTGCTTCAATGACACTGTGTGTTGGGAACAGCCATATAAAATGCCAGAGGTGTTAAGTCTAAATTTCTGCAGCAGTCTGAAGAAGTGGTGCTCTAGCTTACTCTCCATTAGTTACTAAGTACAGCAGGACTTGTCTCAATGAAACAGCTCTTAAGTGAAAAAAAAAAAAAATCAAGACGAGACAAAAACCACACATACTTTTACATGTGCCTAATTTAACAATAGCAGCACAAGCAAGACTTCTCCCATTTCTGGCTAGATAAATCACGTTTTAGAGGGGACTTTCCACTGGCTGCCAGAGATTTTTGAAGACATGACGCTATTGCACAGAACCTTGTATATTTATTATACAATGGGCATGACTCCTGTCTTGTCCTGATAGCATACGCAGCATTTTACAGACGTTCAGAAACAAGCATTTAAGTTTCTTCAACATTTAAAATGGCCAAGTTCCTGAGCTGATTAATATTACATCATCACTGCAGGGTTCAGAGGGAGTTTGAAGCACAAAATAATGAGATACATATGCTGGTGCAAACAACCCAAGGGATTTCAGAGGACTACTATGTGAAGTCCCAGAAGTGTTCATTTCCAAGAACAATCTAATGCATCACAAAATGCAGGAAAGCATGCATCAGCTGTGTTTGAGAAATTTTTTAATCAATACTTATAATGCAATTATGCAGAAGTACAACAGTGTTATCAGTCAAACTAGCATTTAGTTTTCTTTTAATTACCGTCTTGCTATTTTTAAGGTAAACCCCATTTAATTTGCATCCTCACATTAATATCATAGACATCCTTACTAATGCAACACATACACTTCAAGTCCATAAGCTCATGCAGGGCTCTTGTAGTACACGAATTACTCATATAGGACTAATAATAACAACAATATTTTCTAAATATATATGTGAATTACCTGATCTTTGATAAGTTCTACTGCAGGTCGTTCAAGATCTAGCTCATAGCACAGCCTCATAAAGAGTGGCCCAAATTTAAAATTATGTAAGGCTGTGATTCCATGCTGCTCATGGTACCTATTGGAAAGATTAAAAAAAGTTAATCGCACACGGCATGGAATTTGTGAAGGGAAAACAGGTTTAACTAGACAGAAAGATCTGTATAGGCAATGACAAGCACACTTCTCTATCTGCACCACCCAATGACATTTAGATAACAGAAGATTAATTTTATGGAAAAAATACTGTTTTGATCAAACTAATAAATTAACCAGTAATATGCAAAGTAACCTGCATTGGATTAATAGCAGAATGGGTTTCTGCCACAAAAATTCCAGCTACTTTACCCTCTATCCCCAGAGCAATAGCACAGGAAGTGGCAGCATTCCATTTTAGCAGCAGTACCTGTCCAAATAACTTTTTCTCTCCAACATTAAAAGAACCCCAATTAAAATGATAAAGTGTTTCATTTTTTTCTTTGCAACTCCTACACTGCAATTGCTGGGAAGGCTTTAATTCACAAAACCTGCCACTACTGCATCCAGACCAGTTTATAACGAGGGATGGCTTGGCTGGAAAACGCCACTGAACACACTATTGTACCTGGCAGTCCTCAAGGCCAGGTTGGACAGGGCCTTGGGTGACATAGTTTAGTGTGTGGTGTCCTTGCCCATGGCAGGGGTGTTGGAAATAGATGATCTTAAGGTCTTTCCAACCCTAACTATTCTGTGATTCTATGATGCTTCTATGTGGCACTGCTCATTCTGCATACAATAGGAAAGCACTTTGCTCTTGTAGCTTGACTCTCCTTTGATCTAAGAGTCTGTGAAGGGTTGGAAGATCCAAAACAAAATAAAATACAGCCTTATTTTAAGGGATTAACTATGTATATGACCACTGAATTAGGGTAAGCCCTCAACTACAGACATAACCTGAAATGATCTAATAAAACCAAAAAAATAAAGACAGAAAAGAGTGTTACCTGGATTGTTAAAAATACCTGTAAATAACTTCTCTGGCTAGTTCCACATCAGATGAAGTCTGACATAAATGCAGCAAATTTTTTAATTCAGTTTTGAGAATTATTTCATTTTTCTTTAATTTTTCTTTAATACTTTTAAAATACGGATCTGAAAATAAAACACATTATAGCAGTAGTCTATAGACAATTCCTTTACCTTCATTGCATACTTCGTACCTGAAACACGAAGATTCAACGAGGCAGAAAGCTTGGGTGTTTTTTCACCAAGAAAAATGCATGAAACTTCATGCCTAGGTGTCCCCATGAAGTCATGTCAGACTTGGAAAACAAAAGGATGCTTACTATGAACTTAACTGCATTGTGTGTGTTATGTAATACATAAAAATTTTGAAGAGGAAGGAAGTTTTGTAAGTGACATTTTCTGCCTTATGTTTTTTTTTTAAAAAGCAAGCAAACAAACAAAACCAATCCCACTCAGCCTTCAAATGACTATAGGAACTCCTACTCAACACTGCTTGTGCAGAAAACTTAAATTCCTTCATGACTGATGCAAACACAAAGAATCTCATACATAATCTATGTATTTCTATATATATCCATAACCTTAGGAGTTGTTGCCCTTTTCCTGCCAAAACCCAAAAGAGGTTTCTCTATCCAGTACGTTTTCCTATGACAAAGCAAGCACAAAGATGACTCCTTCATTTGGTAATCTCAAGCCTCTGATTCAGACACATCCAAGACTAAAAATCACATGCACCACCTGGCAGCCCCATTCCTCCAAGGGTGCTACCCCATCTTGGCCAGCGTAGTTAACTTTTTGGTAACAATTGCTGGGTAAGTGCTGTTCCCAAGCTAAAAACCTACACAAGAGGCATAAAGTGAGACTCCCAGAGAACAAGGTATTCAGCTACTGGATACATATCTGTTGCTACTGGATACATATCTGTTGCTACATGCAAATACAAGTCCTTACTCAAGCTGCAATACAGAGCTGAATCCTGTGAAGTCAGAAGAATGTATATAGATGTATGCATATAATAGTTGTATTCAAAGATGCATAGAAATTAAAAAAACCACCTGGGATTCCAACTGTCTTTGTATTATAGTATGTGACCGTTTAACTGCTGTAGTTAATAGAATAACTATTACAGCTAATAGTTGCATTATAATAACTAATAGCTATTATATACTGTGTAATTTCTATATATATATTGTTTCTGCTTCTAAGCCAAGTTTAATAATAACCCTAATTACTTCTTTTCAGCTTTCAAGTATTAGACTAAACACAGAGTACAGAAACCATGCACACATACACACAGATAGGTGCTTAGAACATTGTTTTAATTAGTCCATGGAAGCTTCTATTTGTACAAAACAAAAAGATCTACTGTGACCTGTAAAGTCAAATATTTGCTTTCTATAAACCTGTTTTAGCAAGAGTGATTAACCCATAGCAATAAATTCAATTTGTTATATTTAATAATAATATTCAATACATTTGATTTATCACATTCATCCTCCCTGAAGGGCAGGATGAATAATCCCCCATGTGAATATGTCATCATCACAGCATAATATAGCAATATTATGACTTGCCACTGCCTGATTTAAACTGTACTTTCATTTAATATAGGAAGACTGTCCTGTTGACTTTACCTCCTACTCTGTCCCAGAAGACTGGCTTACACAAAACAAAATTTGATTATTTGTCTCTTCTTTGACATACACATAAAACCCAAAATTAACTACATCCTTTGGAACAAGTGCCAATTTGAATCACTAGAACACCTGCACATGATTAAACAGGTGCAGGAAGGGGAGCTTAACCAAATCTTTCTTGAATATTAAGGACAGATTTATGTTTATATTTACATTCCTTAAAGAAAGGAATTTGTTTATTTTTTAAGCAGCTTGATAAAATCCCCATCAGGTAAGAACCACTGATCTTGCTCCTTCGTAAGTTTGGAAAGCCTAAATTTGTTTTCCATATTCTAAGTATGTATATATCACCTAGAATTGGGTGTACAATTGAGAACTTACATTAGGTAAATAGAAACAAATCTAAAAGAATAAGCTAACTAAATTTACAGAGTAGATCAAAAGAGAATTACTGTCATAGGCATTCTCTGGATAGTTAAGCAGCTATTAGGTTTTGTATTAACTTTCGCTGATACCATATTTGAAGCAAGATTTGTAGACTGAAACAGTATTTTCTATTAGACTATCTGACAAAGTTGGAAAAGCAAGGGCACAAACACTTATGTGAAAGTCTGCATGCTTGAAAACTTCTCCACATTTTCCAGCACACCATAACTAATATTGTTTCACTGTATATCTTCCAGTAATTTTAGGAACAAAAAATTTGCAAGAGAAAGATTAAGTCGTTGTTTTACGTGGGGTCAGTTGATATCACATTATAATGACTATGACTGTCTTATTTCCTAGACTTATTCCAAAACCGAGAATGGTGATTATGAAATAAATAGTAATACCTTTGTTGCCGTGAACTTCATTTGTAACTACCACTTTCATCTGCTGAAATTCTTGTAACTTGATATCATCTTCTGTTAGCAGATACCTCTTCCCTACCACCAGAAAATAAAGATGAAGGCAGAGTTTTATGTCACACTGTCTGTTTTAATAGTGCTGAACTTTGTATTTATTAATGACTGTCCTTAATTACTGTGTGATGCCTAAACAGGGGCACCATGACACTAAGAAAAAGACTGCAAAAATTGCAATTGCTCATGTGACCGACAAAAGTGCCTGAGCACTATGTCTCAGCTTCACAAAGTTAATGTCTACAAGGATGAAGAAGTATGTATTTACTAGATTTGCAAAAGTTTTCTCCACCAATCTAAGATACATGAGGATTCTGCACAAGCATAAGGTATTTCACCCCTTTCATATTTTTTACAATGATTTTTTCATATTTTTACAATGATTTGTCTTCTCTTTCTTCACAATGCACTAGTGGCACAGGCTCCTCACATCTGCTGTTCCCCCTATTGTAGAATGTATTGTTCTAGAAGCTCCAAATGCAGTAGAAAGACAAAAGTTAAAAAACATAAAACTTACTATTTGGACTGCATTAACACTCAAGAGACCTAGTAAAATTGTAGTGCAGTACAGACATCAGAGAAGACAGTCATTGAACCCAGAATCTCAAAATTAGCTTTGGGTGCTGACCTCAACTGTGCTGTGTTGTAAGCTCCTTTAATGGAAGTGTCATGCAAATGATATTTGTGATTTTTTTTGCTGAAACAAAAAAAGCCCTCCAGTAAATTTTTGTTTGCAACCAGTGATTTTATAACAGACAGTCACTGTAATAGTTTATGTTGTCACAATCTAATCTTTTAAGTTTTTGGCTTCTTAAAGAATGATTCTAATCATGAAGGGACAAAAGCAAGTATTATTCTGAGCTAAGTTATTTCTCCTGCTTCTGTGTTTCCCTAGCAAAACAAAAACGTTTTCTATGCAAGATAAGCATGCTAATGATACATTTCATAAAATCTGCAGAAACCCCCCTTCATTAAATGGCATCTTTAGCCATTAAATTTAATGGAAACAGTTTCAATGGGTAAGCAAATACACTTTGTCCAGCATGAAATTGGCATGGATTATATTGCCATCACTTCCCAAAAACCCACTCAGCTGGTCTAACAGCACCCCTGTCCTGGGCCTCTCCATAGCTGATGCGGGAATCACGCCAGTGGCTGGGCTGGTACACAACACACCACACTGTATGGACACAGCAGTCACAGGTGTGATCAGAGAGCTTGGGACAGCAGAAATTTACCCTTCTTGAAATTAATTTGCTCTATTCTACTGTTTTCTTAAATACACACTTTACAGTGTTGTAGAAAGAAACTAATGCAAAGAGGGCCGCTGAGCTAAAAAGGAGGGAAATCGAAATGATGGTTGGCACACACAAAGCAGTGCAGGCCATCCCAGAGAAATTAACTGACCAACCTGCTTTATCTCTGACACACTGTGACTCTCTAAAAGGAAGGCCAGTGAAAAGTGGTGGGCAGACCACCATGCAGCAGGGATCTTCATGTTTCTGAGGTGTCTAAGAAACCTGTAAACTAAGCAAACCCTCCACAGACGTTGGTACAGCAACCCAGAGACCCAGACGTGGCCTATGCTGGAGCCTTCTGACACGTCCTTTCCCCAGACCTTGGAAGGCCTCTGAAGGCTGGTCACGGTGGTGACAGCCAGCAGGCGCGTCTTGATAATGTTACTTTCCCAGAACAAAACCTCATTTATGAAGCTGAATGCTTATTGGGTTTGGTGACTCCTATGTAGCCGACGGCAAAGACAGGATAAACCGAGTAACCCTGCCCCGCGGGACAACCCTGTCCCACCAACCCGGTAAACCACGGCACCCACGCGCCCGCCCTAAGGCCCATCCTCAGCCCCTCAGCGCTTCTTTCGTTCCATACCTAGCGCCGAGTGGGCCTCCCCGCCGGAACTACAACTCCCGTCAGGCACAAGGTTACGACAAACGCCGATCCTGCTGGGAGTTGTAGTACCCGGGCCGGAGCCACAGCCCGCTGACAGCTCTGTGCCCTGGCTGCGCACCCCGCCGCCCGTCGCCACCGCTCAGCCCGCAGTACCTGCAGGCGCGGAGCCCCAGCAGCCGGAGGCGGGCGGGTGAACAGCGGAGCGCCGCACCGCCTCCCGCACCACCCACCGCGACCCGCCTGCGAGCACCACCGCCATCTTGCTCCAGACTTGCCGGAGGCGGGGCGCTCACGGACCTCCCCCACACCGCAGCTCGCCTCTTCCCTCGGCACCATGGCCGCCGCCGTGCTAAGGCGCGGAGTGTTCTGCACCAGGAGGGCCCTCGGAGCCGCCGCAGGTCGGTGCTCTGTTGGCAGACGGCAGCAGCGCTCGTCGGGGGCTCCCACTTGGGGGGACTCCCTGAGGGGCGGTGGGCGCTCGATTTGGGAGGACAGGCCGTGGCGGGACGGGTCGCTGAGTCGCTTGGTTGGCAGAGCGTGAGCAGGCGCGGGGTGCTGCCTAGGGAGTTCCACTTTGGCTTTATACAAACATGTAGAAAGGTGCGGGCAGATTTGAGAACGGCGTACCACTAGCATGCGGTGCGGGAGAGTGTTCTGAATCTGTTTTTTATAGGTATTCCACCTTGCCGATTTCATAGCTTAGTATGATAGGAGCTGCCGTTTGGGGTCACGTGAAGCCACGCGGGGTTGTATGGGGGCTGCTGAGCCCGCAGCAGTCGGTGTTCAGCACAACCTACTAACTCAGGTCACAGAAGCACAACCAAGATTGAGGGGTTTTAAAGCCACCTTTCAAAAAATCCTGACATTTGGGATGATGGGTGACTGTGTCTTTTCTGTTTCCCTCAGCAGGAATTTCATAGTGTTGCTTCCTGTTACCTACGTGTCCCTGTCTCAGTAATGCCACCCATTGCTTTGACACCAGACCTCCAGCTTACCTGAGCAAAACACTGTCATGCAGGCAGTTACTTGTACTATAGAAAACAGTTCTTTAAAGCTGTATCCTTGCTAGTGGTGTCCTTAGCTGTGAGTGAGCATACAGAAGTTTATCCTAACAAAAGAACATCGCAAACCCTGATCTTTTGTGTGCCTCCTTCATGAACATAATTAGAAATAGCTTTAAAGGAAAACCCACCAACTAGATAGACTGGATATTAGAAAAAAAAATCATCACCAAAAAGGCAGTCAGGCATTGCAACAGGCTGCCCAGGGAAGTGGTAGAATCACCATCCCTGGTAGTGTTCAAAATCTGTGTAGATGAGGCCCTCAGTGGTACGGTTTTTATGGTGGTCTTGGAAGTCCTGGGGTAATGGTTGCACTTAAAGGTCTTTTCCAACCTAGCTTATTCTATGATTTTGTGATTTGAACCAAACAAAAATGCCTCTTTTTCTTCCTTTCCAACTGTTTGGCAAAGCATTGCATTTTTTTTTCACATTGTGACTGTGGAATGCAGTGTACCTAGTCTTTTTTGACAAAAAATTGGTAAGATGTTCAGATGCGTATGTATAATTTCATGTCATAAGAATGATAAGGAGAAAAATTGTTTCACACAAGAACAGCAAACGTTTAGTGGTAGCAGATAGATTTTCAGATAGAGGCTTTCAGATGCTAGCTAAGAATTCTGTGTAGCATAGTGATGTCTAGTTCTTGTTTCTTCACATGGATTTCCACAACCACTTGCATCTATTTCTGTATATTCTTTAAAAAAAAATTATCCACATATTCCTCATGCATTTTCAAGGCCTCATCATCTGTGAATGATGCACAAACATAGTTTGCTCTTCCAAATTAAACAGTTTCTGTTTTGTTTCACAAGCTAGAACATGTCTTGAGCAGATTTCAAAAGTGGCACAAGATAGTATTTGGAAAATAAATGCTTAAAAACATTTGAGCAAACTTTGCATTTCACAGGAGATGCAAAAAAGGGAGATGAGCAAAAACAGAGTATTTCCAAGACTAGCATCTACTTTTAATTTCCGCTGAGACAGATCTTTACAGGTGAAAAAAACCTGTGCAACAACAGAAAAGCTTTTTAGTGTATATTCCTTTTTTTTTGTTTGTTTATGTGTTTATATCTACATATAGCTAATTGTTAGCATTTGATGATAAAGGACTGCAGGCACATAGAAGCTATTCCTTGTTTGTTTTTTTCTGTGTTTACAAATTTGTCATTTTCTTAAATATGGAGTTTAGTTTAGAAAGATTTGTTTCATGCTGAAAAAAAATTAGGTAAGGGCTTTTCTGTTTTAAACATGACGAGGTAATGGCTCATCCACATAGAAGGAACTGAACCATTTCAATGTCTGCCGCTAACAGTTGTGTCATAAGACAGTTTAATGCATCCAACTCAGTAAATGTGACAGAAAAAGGTGATATCTAATGAAGTGTTTATTTAGAGGTGTCTAAGCAACCTGGCTTTACTAGTGATTTCTTGGTTCATTAGGGAGAAGATACCTTCTTTCTGCAGCCTATGTGGACAGCTCAAAATGGGAAAACAGAAAAAAAGAAGATCATAGCCTAGGTAAGAAAAGTTTGTTTCCTTTTCTACACTTTGACTAATTGCAACCTGCACTCATATTAGACTAGCTCATCATCTATAAGTATTTCAAAATTAAAATATTTGTGGAGCAATATGCTTCTTTAGGATCTATGTCAAAATCTGCTGAACTCATTAAAAATCTGTCATGTTCAAAACTATAATGCAGAAATAAGTTAAAGTTTTCCCATTTAATTAATGTTTGGCTTCTACAAGCTAATTTTTTTTCTTTGACAAAATTCAAGGTTTTTCTGAATGTCATAGTTTTGTGTCTGACTGTTAAGACTGTTTCTAAGTGGCCTCTTCATTGATACTATGGATAAGGGAAGAGCATCTGATGTCATCTACCTGATTTGTGCAAAGCATTTGACACTGTCCTGGCTGACATCGTTGTCACTAAATTGGAGAGGCATGGATTTGATGTATGGACCACTTGATGGGTAAGGGTTGGATGGTCACACTCAAAGAGTTGTGGTCAACAGCTCGATGTCCAAGTAGAGATCAGTGACAAGTGGTGTCCCTCAGGGATTGGTGTTGGGACCAGTCTTGTTCAACATCTTTGTTAGTGACATGGGGGATTGAGTGCGCCCTCAGCAAGTTTGCTGATGACACCAAGCTGTGTGATTCAGTTGATACACTCGAGGGAAGGAATGCCATCAAAAAGACCTTGACAATCTGGAGATGTGGGCCATTGCCAACCTCATGAAGTTCAGCAAGGCCAAGTGCAAGGCCCTGCACCTGAATTGGTGCAGTCCTGAGCGTAAATAAAGGCTGGGCACAGACTGCATTGAGAGCAGCCCTGTGGAGAAGGACTTGGGAGTGTTGGTTGACAAGAAGCTCAACATGAACTGGCAGTGTGTGCTTATAGCCCAGAAAGCCAGGCTATGCTGGGCTGCATCAAATGAGCATGGCCAGCAGGTCAGGGGAGGTGATTCTTCCCCCCTACTCCACTCTTGTGAGACCCCACTTGCAGTCCTGCATTCAGTGCTGTGGCCCCCTCAGAAGAAGGATGTGAACTTGTTGAATCGAACCCAGAAGAGGGCCGTGAGGATGTTCAGAGGGCTGGAGCACCTCTTCTGTTAATTTAGGCTGAGAGAGATGCACTTGTTAAGCCTAGCGAAGAGAAAGATTGGGGGAGATGTTACAACAGCCTGCCAATACCTAAAGAAGAGGGCCCAATACCTAGAGGAGAGATTTCTTTGTACAAGGGCATGTAGTGGCAGGACAAGGGGGAATGGCTTTAAACTGAAAGTGAGAAGATTTAGATTAAATATTAAGAAGTTCTTTACTGTGAGGGTGGTGAGGCACTGGCACAGGTTACCCAGAGAAGTTGTGACTGCTCCATCTATGGCTGTGTTGAAGGCCAGGTTTGACAGGGCTTGGAGCAACCTGGTCTAGTGAAAGGTGTTCCTGCCTGTGGCAGAGGATTGGGACTAGATGATCTTTAATGTCCCTTCCAGTCCAAACCATTCTCTTATTGTACAATATGATTCTATGATTGTTTTGATTGTAATGCAATGAAAAAGAAGACCTATTCTGTAATTATTACAGGGAATTCATGTTTGAAAACATTTTTTAAGACCATTTTCTTCATAGTTTTGCAAAAGGAAAGTTATATTTCTTGTGGAGACTTTAGATTTTTCTTTTGGGGAAAAATGAAATTATGCCTTTATTTCCAAGAATCTGTACATTAAACTGTATCTTGGATGGTAGTGAGATCTCTTGTGTGAATTTCATGGCTAAATCCTTTCGCTAGTTTACATTTGAAATGACATTCCACTATCTTTTTGGTGACTGTGTTAAATGGAAAGCATCATACAAAACTTTTTTTCATGCTAAAGATACAAACACATTTTATACTGCAGGTGTTGTAGAGACTCCTTAATGCATTACCTTTGTCTTCCATTTTTTGATCCCTGGCCCCTGAACTGTGTTTGCTAATTGTAGCACAGATTATGAGGCTGAAAGAAGAAGCAGCAGGTGAAATTCAAGGGCTTTTGTCAGGCAGGAAGACAGACAAAATGGTCAGTTATCATTGATCAGTAAATGATCAATAAATGATCAGTAGTTTTTATGCACTGATTTGTTTCTGTTGTTTCCCTATAAGCGGCTAGGTTGGTATTGTCAACATGTTTTACTGTACATGGGCCAGAAACAGCCAGTGGCTGCTCATGACTCTAGCTTGGATCCTGCAGAGACTGTTAATACCTTCTAACCCTTCACTGTTAATAGGACTGATCCTACAGTATTTTGGGGCTGGAGTCACAGTCTAGTGGCCTGAGATGCATTTGAATCACTCACCTCCAGACAAAAAAAGGTTCTTATTTTTGTCAACAGAAATCCACTGTAGAGGAAGACGTTGTGCAAGTGCTAGTACAGTCCATGTTTGGCTTTCCCTGGGCCTGGCAAGACCCTTCATGACTGCTTGGCAAGTCTTCATGCCGCTCTGCTGATGATCTTGATCCAAAGCAGATGTCTGTTCCATGCTTTTCAAAGAACTGCTTTGCATTTTCGTTTTGTGCTCAGCAAGTTAACACAGTGTCAGCTGTATTAGCATTTTCAAAGGGGAGACAGCCCCGCAGACGTCTGCTCTGTAGCTGTCAATTGTGTGGTTGCACATATAATCTAGCGTGTTGTAGCTAGAGTGAATTCCTTGTGTGGAGATGCTCTTTTATTTGTGTATTTCAAACACTGTTTCAGAACTGTTACTCTGCAAAACTATGTTGTAAGAATACATCTAAAGGAAAAATAAGTATTTTTGATTTAAAGTCGGTTCCATTTCTC